TGTTTTCAGAAATTCCAGTAAATAACGAAGAAGAAATCACAAAAACACAAAGTTAAAAAATCCTGAACTTATATCCTGCCTGCTGAAAAATTTGTATGCGACGTAATACGAGTGGCACTTATCAAAATAAACAACTATTTCTATAATTGTAATGGAATTCTGTGTAGAAGGCTGACAGCTCTGGAAGATATTATGAAATGGTTGGGATTATTGAGGCACATGTTTTGGAAATCCTGCAAAAATGAAGAGATCTATGTACGCGCAACGTGTGTTAAAAGAGATCTATGTTTGCGCAATGTGTGTTAAAAGCAAAAAGTGTGTACTATTAAAATTTCAAATGAGACTGATTTTTTAGCGCCGCAATTGCCTTCTTTTTCTTCGTAGCACTCCCGTAAGCCACAAAAAAGTGGCAGGAAAGAGTGTACGCACTGCTGGAGACAAACAGGATAAAAGAGGAAGACACGGGATGAGTTGTGCCTGGCGTACGACCGCATCTTGCAAACGACTACGGGAATTCCATATCAGACGGAATCAACTAACTGCTTGATTTCCACCGACGAATGAGATAGCTCTGATATCCGGATTGTCGCAGATAAAGTTAACGCAGTCGTGCTGGCCATGAAAGACATTATAGCAGCCATCCGGAATACCAGCCTCCTTAGTCAACTCAGCTATCATTAATATTACTGAGGGATCTAGCTCCGATGGCTTATGCACAAGCGTGTTGCCTAAAACCAGTTCATAAACATCAAAGTTAACAAGTTAATCCAAGCAGTCAGTCATTTCGCGAATGGGGCCATTTTGCAAATGAGTTAAGAACGGGCAGTAATCAACTCATTCATTTTCAGAACCTTGCGCCAATTCAGTGCGCCACCAGCTCTTATGCTCCCAGCCCAACAGCTCGAGCTTATGCATGATGCCTAATACTTATTTTTTATCACTGACTGCAGCGCCCATGCAACAAAACTTCTAACAACTGTCAACTTTTTCAGGATCTCCGTTGAAGATCCATTGCTAGTGAATTTATTGAAATACATCAATATATTGAGCGCAGCTGCAATGGGCCTATCCGTCTTAAGCAACGCCTACTAATTTTTTGTTTGGAACTAAATATGCCAACCAGCGCCACATTCACTTTCTTCTTTTTGCACTGATCTGGAAAGGACCATTGCGGGGGCAAACCTGTACTTACAACTGATTTTTGTCTGAAACATATTTAATAACCCAAAACTGAGGTGCTGAAACAAATGCCAGAGCAGGCTGCCCCAGGCAAAATAACATTTGTCGAAGCAAATGGAAGAATTGTAAATTGCACAGATGGAGAATCAAGCAATGAACAGTAGCTGAGCAAAAAGGCATACTAATTTTTCCTGAAAAATTAGGAAAC